AAAGGCCACTGTGGTTCTGGGCTACATCAACAGGAGTATTTGATGTAAGACAGTGCCACTCATTTGGCACTGGTTGTAGTTCTGGGATACACATTTTAAAAAGGATGAACAGACACTAGAGAGGTTTCAAAGCCACACAAGAATTTGGATTAGGATTTGGAATGCAACCCATACAAGGATAATTTGAGGAAAATTAGCATGTTTATCTTGCAGAAACGGTGATTAAGGGGAGGAGGGCATAACAGCCCAGTCAGTACTATTAGGAATATGAAAAGTAAGTAGCATTTTGAGCTGGATTGAGCAGACAAATATCAATTAATAGGGATTTGCAGGAGCAGACTTGATTTACGGGTGCAAATTCATTATAAAAGTCTATTTTAATGAAAATTACAGAGGTATTTTCAATTCCTGGACATTTAGTTCACTGTGTACATGTCTACATGTACTTTTACACGTGCCTAAACTTAAGGCACATTTGCCTAATGTGCATTAAGTCAATTTAGATGCATGTCTACATGTGCACATGCTAAGGCACATTAATGCAGTGTGCGGATCGGCTTGGGACTAAAGTTAGTCTCAAGTCAGTCAACATACACAGCGTCAATGTGCCTTAGTACATCTACATATGTGTTAAAGGTTCTTTAGTTATTTGTGCCTAAATTTGATACCTGCTTCTGCAGATATCAAATTCAGGCATGAATAGCCTAAAATCACCATTTTTAAGGTACATTAAGGGTGAACACATGTAGTTCCATGCTCTTAATGCACCTTAAAAATGGCTAATGCACCTTAAATCAGCACATGTAGACACACCCAGTAAGTGGTGCTAAGTGGAACTAGTAAGAATCAAATTACTAGTATGAAAAATTCTCTCTACCGTGAAAACCTTTCCCATTCTTAACTATGGTAGAATCTCATTAAAATATGAATTCTCCATCAATTAATGTATTAATGAATTGAGAGTAAGAGTAAAAAAAAATGTGGTGGGGGGGGCGTGCAACTGCACTGTGGTAATTTATTTTCTCCTACCTTATGATATTGCACAAGGGCAATTTAGCCTCATTTCATTCATGGATAAGTTGTTCCAGTTTAGCTTTCACTTATCATGGGGTAAGAATGGTCAGATGGCCATTTGCTTTAGCTGAGAGCACTTGTTTAAAGTTATGGGCATATAAACAGTTATCACTGATCAACATACCATGAGAAGTATCTCTAAAAGAGAACTGAGGGCATAACCATTTTCTTTATTGACAGACAGTTAAGATTTCTCCCTACCAATTCAGCATGTTTCACATTTTGACAGTTTTATTAACACAGCGACACATCTGTAAGTAGGCCATTTACTCTACTACCTGTGACAGGCAAGTTAGCAACATGCTCAGCTTCACAGACCTGCTTTGTATTTCGTAAAAAAACAACCTGGAGTCCACAACAAATCAAACCAAGAGCCCTTTCAGGCACTAGAAGGGAGATAAATTTAGTTCTAGTTCTCACATCCTAATACTCTCTTGGAGTTCTTAATTCTTCCATCATTAGATGTTCACCACTTCCAACTGAACCCAAGCCTTCTAGCCAGGCATACTATTATCCACTGATCCCCTGCAGCTGGGTCCCTAGCCCTTGAGGGGTTGAGCACTTCTTTACAATCTTTTTGTTATAGATCCCTCACTTTTCTATAGCCTCTAATATGCCTTACATACTGTATTTTATGTTCTAAGAAGTACAGCCATTTCCACTTTTTGTGCCCAAGAAAATACAGCTACATGTGAAAGGCAACATTAGTAAAATTTTATACTAATTTTATATTATCTTGCTCCTAGTGAAAACATTTACAAAGAAAAAAAAATGTCCTTCTTTGTGAAGAATAAAACTGTGAAATTAAGAACCAAGGCCAGATGTTCAGTACTATTTAGCTGTCAAAAGAGATGGCAGAAGTTTTAAGTAATTTTCAACATCTTAGGTACGCCATCATTTTTTAAAAACCTAAGAGATGCCTAGCAGCTTTTTTCAGCTTCTAAATTACTTTGAAAATCTGACCCCTAACAAGAGCTTTGAAAATTACCATATCAAAGAGCACACGGATTCCCAGGGCATATGTAGCCAGAGATGAGATTCCTGGATCTAGAAAGGTTGTGATATAGGTTTCCATTAAAACACACCTTTACAAACCTAGGATTTTCCAGTGCTCCTATTACTATTTCTGAAGTTTCTACAAGTGCCATAAATGAAGGCAGTAATTTAAAGATACTACTGCAATCATAGAAGGCCTAGGCCCTTGACACACATTACATTTAAGATGCCATTAACAGGTTAATTGCACCTTAAGTAGTAACCCGGCCACATGTTAATGGCAATTTAAGGAATGATAATACAGTTAATAAGCCACAAAGTTATTCCACATTTAATGTATAACAACTTTGTGGCTCATTTGTGCCACACCTTAAGTTGAATATGTGGCCAGTTGCCAGATCCTGACACTCATCTTAGTGTCAGACTCCAGCATAGAGCAGCCCTACAGGTTGGACCACAACTGTCCCAGCAGCCTGATTCCAGGGTCCCGGTGCACTGGGATTTGGGGTGGAGTCAAAACTTTATGTTCCATCCAACTGGACAGCACATGCATTTTAAAAGTCCAGGTGCACAGACCCTGGGATTGGGCTGTTGCAGCACAATCCCAAAATCCTTATGGGCTGGCATGGAGTCAAAACTATGTGAGTCATTAGATACCTGTTCAGTCCCCAGCCCCAACTGACAATCAGGTGATTGTTGGCAGCTGTGTTTTAACTTGTGGTGCAAGGGAAGCCCAGGATCATGATCCTGGGGTCCACCTGCACTGACAAGGAAAATATGATAAAGTTCTAATCCCCAATCCCAAACTTGTTTTAGGATTGTGGTTTAGATCCCATGGTGCCTTAAACTGTAAAACACCCTATTGTTTGCTTGCATTTGTTGCAAAAATGAGCTGGAAAATAGGACATTTCAGAGCAACCCTTTTACTGTCACATTGTAGTCTCTGAGGGGTATGACCAGCCATAGGACCTATTATTTTGTTCCATTTTGTTTTATTTTATCATCTTTACTGGCTTCCTTTCTGGAGCCAAAAATAACGAAATATGTCCTTCCTTGTTTTCAAAACTCATAAAGGACGTTCTTACCCTAGTATATGAAAGTATCTATAAGAGGTAAAGAAGCAAAATGCTTTCTGTTTTGTCCCTTGTTCTCAGCACCTCAGAATGTTATAAAATTTCCAAGTCTGATCTGCCCCCAAATTAGTTTTTATTTTTATTAGTTTTTAAAGATTAAATAAATCCATTGAATTGTTTGCAGATTTAAGAAGGTGCAAACATAACATTTTCCCATCTTAAAACTTCTAAACACCCTGCTTAGTCCAGTTTAAGTTAGAAACTGAAAACCAACCTGTGCAAAGGGCCTGATCCTAAATCCACTGTTATTAATGGGAGTCTAATTTATCTGCTCCATGGTGGAGACACGTTGGGTTGATTTTTTTTACATGGGAGCTTTGGAAAATCCTGGAAAACTGCATCTGATAGATTTGCTCCCTAGGAGAACCCAAGCCTTTCAGAAGGTACAAGATTACCACATGAACATTCCTTTTCTCCAGATGATCCATCAGAATTCTAATGGGCTCAAAGAGAATATCATACAGCTTGGTATCTACAAAAATGTCTTCACAACATGGTATTTCATTTCCATTGTGGAGATGATCAGAATCTATTAATCAGAATCATTAAAATGATTGATTTTCTCTTTTTCCTCTTTGTTCTACTAATTTCATTATGTAATATAGTTTTGATTGCATCAAAAACAGTCAGATAAAATGCGTGGGATTCCCAGTAAGACCGAGTTAACATTGCTGAAGTCACCTTAGACAGATGGCAGGGGGTAGAATTGTACCTTGTAGGCTATCAGACTAACACACCTTTCTCTGCTCATGAAGTTACCATAGTCTATGTACAGTAGAACCCATATTGGGATAGTTTACAACCTGCTTAATTTGAAGTGGGCTGCCAAAATAATGACAAGTGATTCAGCAGATGGCTATAGCTTTTACTGCAAAAAGCTTCACTTCTCCACTCAGCTGGAGCTCATTAGCAGTCCCACAGAGATGACTAGAGAAGCAGTACTCCTTGAAATAGAAGCCAAGCAAATAACTGGAGCACCTAACAGGTCCAGTACAACTATATGCTGTGGCAATATATGCCCCAAGCTAGTTCACAAGCTCTCATTTTACTGAAGAAAGAGGGGGTGAGGAATGTTATGCTATAAAGAATCCAAGTCCTATAGTATTCCTTTACTTTGTAATGCATTGTATTATCTTTTATATTTATTTTTAATTGCTATTAAGTATTCTATTAGGTTAGGGGGAAAGAAAGTGTTGCAAAACTCAGGACCAATACAAATTTTCTTAGTAACAGGAATAAAAAAATGCCTGTGCAATCTTTCCAACTCAAGTACTAAAGCACTGAGAAAATGAATTAACATATTGTTGACTAGAAACTGAAATGCATTCAAATAATCTATTTTGATTCTTTAAGCTAAAAAAATCTTAAATAAGAAAACAAAGTCAAATAGCACAAAAGCATAAAGTCAATAATTTTTTTAATGATTTTATTAGTATTTATCTAGTTTGTGCAAGAAACAAAAATAGCACTATATGGGCATTAATACTATATGGGCTCCAGGAATATGGAGGAGGGGGGCACTTTAATTAGAGTGGCTCCTAGAGCTGCTTTAATTAAAGGACCCAGAGTGTCACTTGTATCAGTGTCCCTGTGCTGAAAAATGGTGGCAGGGATGCTTTAACTGAAGCTCATCAAACAAGACTTAGTTAAAGCACCCCCGCCACCATTTTTCAGCATGGGGATGCTGATAGATATGACACTGGAGTCTGCTGGAGTGCAGTACTTATCACATTCCATCAGACTCAATTAATTGCTGTAATTACAGTACATAGGAGCAGCCTCCCTGCATATAGGTGCCCTCTATGATTAATATATATATACATTTTAACTTTACTTTCTTCTTTAATTACTGACCCTCCTAAAGGTTTTTTTTTTTTTTACAACTATCAAAGAGGAAGCACAGAATAAAATGTTTAGCTGTATAAAGAGGCGATGTTAAATGAGTACCCACAAAGAAGTATATGGAAAGAGAGGGAGTTAAAGTGTTAATCTCTCACACACTTGTTGACTTCTCACCATAAGATGCTGGAAGAGCCAGGAACGCATTATGTTTGTAGCATGCTTTGGTAGCACTCCCCTTTTGTTCTTTGACTTCTTATCTTCACTGTCAAGGAGGGAGGTCAGGTCCAGGTTAACCTACAGGGCAGGAAAAGGGAAAGAAAAGCTTAAAGGACAATGCAGATAAAAGGAACAGTGTTACCATGGAGATGCATCAGACAATGGTTGACTGATTTTATGGTGATTTTCCTGGGCTACAGAGATTCCTGCCATTCCCAGAGGTAAAGGCAACACATCTTAAGTGAATTTTATTCCAAAAAGGCATATAAAATATTAACAGCTTTTACCATGTGACTAAGAGCAAAATACTCTACTTATTGAAAATATAGCACTGGCAAATAAAATAAGATTTTAGTGTGTTTCTGTATCCATGGTGATTTAGTCAGTTGCAATTAGTTAATCACTTCTGCACCCCTTTTCTGCATGTTTTCATCAGTCACTGACTTGTTTCTGAGCTCTTGCATATACTTAGAGAATGGCCTTAGTTTAGCAATTAGTGGCCAGTATTTGGTGCTGCCGCACCATTGCTCACTCTTCTTTACCTTGGTTCTAAATCTTGATTAGACTGATGAAAATTACACCTTACCTTTGTGTCTGCTTTAGTGAACTAATCCATACATTTCTTCCTACACGTAGATTTAAGCACAGTAATTTATTGCACTGACAGATACTACTTGTATCTGATGGGACTATCCAGCAGCATATTAACTTAGTCTACTGTGCCCTAATTGCTGTGCACATGTAGATGGCGATGCTTTACTGCACAGAAAGTTAGTCTGCTGTGCAGTAAGGCATGTCATGTAGATGAACCCAACTGGGGGATATTTGAATTGTTGTATAAAGGCAAATTTTAGGCTGGCCAGGTAGGCTTCAAACTAGATTTGATATCTGAGGTTCTGACTATAACTTTTTTGGTCACTGATGCAAATTAAGTCAATGGTTTTAAAGAAACATCTATGGTGACTCCAAGGTCTATTTTCTCAGTTATAAGGACTGATTTAGAACCCAGCACTACATATACACAGTCAAAGT